CACAGTCGGACACACGTAAGTCTTTCCCAGCACTTGACAGGCGGATCTCCTTGGCAAAATCAAAAGGGAGACCAGCCAGCAGCTGCTCAATAACGACAGAGTCGTCATCACCTGTCAGCTTGTGACCTGATGTAGCCAGCAGCCGCTGCAAATCAGACACGTACGCGTCAGGACTTTCATCAGAAAGGAACCGGCGGGACGTAAATTTTTCGTACGCATCACTTCCTGTCACGCCGAACGACTTTTGCAGCAAAGCGGACACCTTATCCTCGTCCTTCTTATCCGCAGCCTCCATTCTACTAAACACGAGCAGCGCATCTCCTTCCAAAAACAGAGGCAGTCTCTGCATGCGCTTATCAGCCGTGTCCCAACCATTCACCTCCGACAGCACAGAGTACTTCAACCAAAAGTCATCAAAGCTGTCACCTGCCTTCCCACCGAAGGACTTCATCAAGCCGTCCAGCTTCAGGCCAGACATGGCTTCAGGTTCAGAAGCAACGCCAACTGCTTCACTGTCCGATACAGGCAAGGCCTCAACCTCTCCTTGTCTCGCTCTCTGTCTCGTACGACGACGACGAGGCATACACTAAAACTGACGTCTACGCACAAACAATTCCCGGGTTTCGGCACCACGCTGTTAGAAAATTACCCCCACAACCGGTCTCAGGCATACCACGGCCAAAACACCACACAGGTCTGGACAAGTAATTATACTAACTGGAAGGTTATTGTTTGTGCTAATACATACGACAGTACAACAAGAGAGAGAACTTTGTTCACAAAACCATCGCCATCGGAACACACCAGAACTACTGTAAAAAGAGCAGCGTGTCTCCGAAAGGAACTGGAGCATGCATGCGTACCACAGCAAGCGCAAACAGCTGCACAGCATACATGCATGCGTACAAGAAAGCCGCATCCACCGGATGAATCACGCACATGAATCACATGACAGGCAACAAGAGGTAAGAAGTAATGTCAACTACACAAGACAGAGTCATACAAGAGAAAGTCATAGTTCGATTACATGGGACAAAAAGGGAAATGGACCCTGGTGAAGCCATACGTACTATGTCACTGCTAGGCTTTTTGACGCCATACGCCGACTTCGGCATAGGTTTGGTAATACCAGTACAGTCATGTACATACCTGGGTAGTGCGCACACTGATACAAGCACGAGTGCTAGGAAATCTTTCCAGCCGAAGACAACGCACGGCATCAGAGCATCTGTGCAGGGTGCACATGTATACAAAAAGGGCATCAGTCACACAGGTGATACGCTATGTCGGCCGAAGAGCAAACGGTCACTAAGGAGAAAAGCAACACCTGAGAGAGACATGCCCCGGTCTAATGTTAGCCCCTATGCGGCAGCAAAGTCGTTAGTCACAGGTTCTACTGTACTCGTAAAGCATGTACATGACATTGTATAGTATGCAGTGCTGCCAAATAATTTTCGTCCAAAATCGGACACCCTTCACCGCCAAGGCGGGCCACATGGTACGATTTTCTCCTCAGCAATTTTTTTACAGAGAATTCAAAATATCGCCTAAAACACCATGAAAATTCGCTTCGTTGCCATGGTAACCCGGAGTTGTCATGAATTTTGGTAATGATGAGTGTGGTCGCACACTGACTCTGGACACACTGTCAGCGTACATGCCATCCAGGCTGATCCAGGCATGTTACTTTGCACTTCCACAGCCAAGCGCTAGCCTTTTTAGAAGCACATGTACAGTGATTTGTGCCTTCAGAAGTTCAGTTGCGCTGAAAAGTGAAAGTACAGACTTCTGCAAAGAAAGTAATGATCTCCGACATTTGGCTGCTTTTCGGACGTTTCCCTTTTCGGACCGGCTTTCGGAAGAGCCTTCAAAAATCGGACGGTGGCAGCCTGAGTATGCTACCATAATGGGAAATAGCCCGCTGATACTACACAGTTCCCTGTGAGGTGACTTACTGTGCCACATGAACATGTTAGTCACCTTCATTTCTCTCCTCTCCCGCAGCAACTCAAACCATTCCACAGTAGCCAGGTGATGTCCAAAGAAACAGAAGTACATGGTGAACTAGGAAGCAACACAAACACAGCCCGGGAGCCCAGTGACTACAGGTGAGCGGATATTATGTAGAGTAAAACGGTAACTAAAGACCACCCGGCGTGACTAGTGACCAGCCTGCTACTACCGGTCTCACATTCATATCATGGTTGTGCGGTGCAAACCTCTAACTAAAGACCACCTGTCACTAAAGACCGCTTTCTCTGGCCCCAAGGCCGGTGGTCGTTAGTCACAGGTTTTATTGTACTTTTCATGCTAACAAAGTCGAACCACCTAGCTGTCTGGAGACTGAAGATGAGAATGTTAGATGCAATAGCTCACGAGCCGCAACATAAAGTGTATTTTGAAGTGCGCTGCATAAGCACGTGACAGGATAAGTCTAGAACTAGCGAGCCAGTATGGCAGTGTAGCAATTACCAGCTAATAATGCTGCCGAAGAGCATGC